AAAGTAAAAAAAATCAGTTTATTTTTGAAAAGTTGACTAAAATACAGCTTTTTCTTTATCTGATTTTGATAGTTGAAGGCGAAAATTGACTAAAATTCAACTTAGGTCTTTTTGTTCTTAGAACGATTTTTTTTCAGAATTTTAGTAAAAAATAATTGAAATTATTTTTTAAAAAGTTAAAAAATTAAGCTTATTTATATAATATTTCTATATATCAGAAATAAACTCAAATAGTACATTAAATCAATATTATTTTAGCAAATCGGTTTAATCTAAAAGTTTGGTTCATTTGAACGATAAATGCATCTTACCTAAGGAACGATAAAACCATCATTCCTTAGGTACGATAAAACAATTATCCATAAGGAATGATAAATGCATCGTTCTTTAAGAACGATAAAACTATTGTTTCTTAAGTACGATAAAACTATCATTCCTTAAGTACAATAAAACCATCATTCCTTAGGTACAATAATACCATCATCCCTAAGGAATGATAAAATCATCGTTCTTTGGATACGATAAAACCATCATTTCTTAGGTATGATAATACCATCGTTTCTTAGGTACAATAATACCATTGTCCCTAAGAAACAATAAAATCATCATTCTTTGGGTACAATAAAACCATCGTTTCTTAAGTATGATAATACCATTGTCTCTAAGAAATGATAAAATCATTATTCTTTAGGTACGATAAAACCATCGTTTCTTAGGTACAATAATACCATTATTTCTAAGGAACGATAAAACCATCATTTCTTAGGAACAATAAAACTATCATTTCTTAGGTACGATAATATCATCATCTCTAAGGAATGATAAAATCATCATTCTTTGGGTACGATAAAACTATCGTTTCTTAGGTATGATAATACTATTATTTCTAGGGAACGATAAAATCATTGCCTCTAAGAAACAATAATATTATCATTCCTTAGGTACAATAAAATCATCATACCTAAGGAATGATAATACCATCATTCCTAAGGATGATAATACCCTATCGTTCCAATCAGAAATTAATTGTTATAAATAAGATAGGTCGAATTTTGATATATACCAATCGGCTATAAATAAAATAGATCAAATTTTGGTTGATTTTTGGCCGATTTTTAATGTATACTAATCAGCTAGGCTGATTTTTGATAATTTGCCAAATTTAGATCGAATTTAGACTGATTTTAGGTCAATTTTTACATGTTCGATTTTTTTGATTTCGACTGTATCAAGACTATAATCTTTTAATATTTGTTAAAGATTCTCTTTTATTATTTTAAAATCTTCAAGCGATATACTTGCAGCTTCCTGTATACATGATACTATTTAAGATTGTATCATTTTTTAAAATTATTCACCAAACTATTTAATCCTTTAAACTTATCCTCTTTTAATAAAAAAGAAAACTCAAGGTTTTTATTGAAAGAATATTGTCAGTAATAATAAAACTAGTTTTAAATATATTATTTACCTAAATTGCTAATGCTTCTTTAATAAGAAGAAATAGAATTTTCTTATCACATTTCAAATTAGCTTAGTATAAATTAGTATCTACAGAAAGCTATTAATCTTTCTCCTTTAAAATGTCACTTATCATACCTTCACTAACATCATATTTATTAGCCAAATCTTTTTATTTTAAAAAAAGTAATGATATTTTTTTTAAACAAAGTTTTTTTTTTTGCAGTTATAAGAGATTTTTGTTTTTTTTAAGATTCATTTTAATTGTTAATAGGTTCATTAAGTTGTTTCTTTAAGCTTACTTTTGATATTATACAAAGAAAAAAATATGTAAAAAATAAAACATATAAAAAAAATCATGAAACACAAAATATAATGTATAATATGAAATATATATTCATTATTCATTTTATTTAAAACTATGTATAGAGAATTACAAAATTTTATATGCATAAATCTAATTAAGCAAAACTTCATTATATCAAAAAAAAAATTTATTATAGAGATAATTCATTATAAAAAGGGTTATTTTATATATAAATTTTTCTGATTTTAATTCGTTAAATATAATATGAATTTTTAATTATCAAATTCAGTATAGTAAGATTTTTTTTATATTTAAAAATCTGTCCTATATTAAAAATCTGTTGTATTGTAAAATTTGTTATATCAAAATTCATTGTAGAAAGAATTGATGTATTTTATAATTAATTTTATTTGTAATTAATTATATAATTAATTAAATTTTATATATTAAAATTATATATTATATTTTTAATAAAATATTTATCATAATATATATAGACCTAATAAATTAATAATATTAATATATTTTAATATAACAAAATTTATTGTAAATAATTATAAAAGAAAAATATTACTTTTGTGAAAAAAAATTTTTAATCTATATTAATTTTTATATAAGAATTAATTTATTAGTATTAATATTAATTTTTTTGATATTAATATAAAAAATGATATTAAACTATTTTATAAATTTACTATTAAAAAACTAAATAATTTTATTCTATTATTTGATTATTATTTTATTATTCTTAGATTATAGAGATTCATAAATAAATTTGTTTATTTATTACTATAAATTCTGATTTATAATTCTATAAATCAAAAAAAAAGATATTTAATTCTACTAATATAACTTTTTATATATATATTTTTTTTGCATTTTATATCTTAGAATTTTTAAGAAATAGGTCTTTGCAATAGAAAGAAAGGAAACTCTAAAGAAAAATAAAAAATAAGTTAATAATAAATCTGAATAAATTATAGTATTTAGAATATTTTAGGCTTATAAATCAAAATTTTAATTTTTTTTGAAATTTTCTTCTTTTCTATTGCAAAGACCTCAAATTACAAGATAAAAAATTAAATATAAAGTATTTTCTACTTTAAATATTAAACAAAATATTATTTATTTGAATCTTTAATTTTTTTATAATACAAATAATTTAAACCATTTTTTTTTTACTTTAAAATAATAAATATATTAAATAAATTATATTTTATTATTTTTTTAATATACAAAATTAACATTTATTAAAAAAATTAAAAAATAAGTATTTGTTTATAAATAATATTTTTGATAAATTTTAAATCTAAAAGTAAAAAATCAAAAATTAGATTTTAAATTTTAATTTATAAATTAAAATATATTTTTATAGTTTTATAAAATTATATAAAAAAAAATAATAAAAAAAATAATTAATAAATAAAATTATTAGTGATTTTTAAAAAAATTAATATATTAATTAAGTTCTTGTCTATATAACCTTTATACTTTTAAAAATATTTACTTTATTATCCTTTTAATTTTGAATAAAATAACCAGTAAAATTTTAATAAAATTATTAATTTTAAGTTATATAAATTAATAGTTCTTAATTATCACAAATTCTTGTGATTATAAAATATAATTAAATGAAATATACATTCTTTTTTATTCTTTATTTTTATAAACATATAAGATTTTATTCTGCTAATATACTTTTTTTTTTCCTTAACTTTATAATTAAATAAATATTTTAATTGTTTATATTCTATTTCTTTTATAAATATATATTTTTATTTTTTAAATGAAAATATAATTAAATTTTATTTTTAGAAAAAATTTTAACATATTATTCTTTATTAAATAATTTATAAATTAATTATCTAATTTTATTTTTAAAATAGTAATATAATAGTTTTTTTTTAATTTTAATTAACAAAGAATTTTAAAATCTTTAAACTTGAATATTTGAAATCTTATTAAGTAAAATTGTTAAATATGTAAAATATATGATTATTTAGAATATTTTTTTAATATAAAAAAGTTTTTTTTAGTATAAAGAATAGTTAAATTATTGATAACTAATATAAAGAGCTAATATTTTTATTAGAAAAATTATTAATATTTTTTTACATTTATTATTTAATAAATTTATAAAGTTTTAATTATATTTTAATATAAATTGACAAATTATTAATTAAATTGTATTTTGATAGATAAATTATATTTTAATAGATATAATTATTTTATTAATATTTTATAATAAATATCAAATTAATTAGTGTTAAAATATAGTTTAGATTTATTTTACAAATTACAGTAATTTGATTATATATTAAATAGCCAATTATATATTTAATTTAAAATAATCTTATTTTATTATATTATTTTATATATAACATTTAATTGATATATCAAATTAGTCTATATATAATATATGCAGTTTGAATCATTAAGAAAATCTTTTTGAAATACAATAATTTTATAAATAATTTAATGTTTTATGAATATAATATTAATAATAATATCTATAAATTTTTATGTTTTTTTTTTTACAATTTAAAGGTTTTTTAATATATTGTAATTTAGATCATAAAGGATTCTTTTATTTTGATAGAATTCAATGTTTTTGTGAATATAATATTAATATCAATATCAGTAAATTTATATTTTCTTTTACAATTAAAAAATTAGAATAGGTAACTTTTTATATGAATAATCAGATATAAAAATATTTAAATTTATATTATCATAATATATGCATTAATTTATTAAACTTTAAACTTCAACCTTTTCTCACATATAAAAATATAATTAACTATAATGTAATTTTGGCTTATTAAGAATAATTGATCATAAAGTAATTTTCTTTTTTAATAAACCAAATCCTCATTAACAAAATATAAACTTATTAAATTTAAGCAAAAAGAAAATCATTAAAAAAATTTATAGTAAATATAATATTAAAATTTTTTATGATATAATTAAGTAACCAAATTAATAAATGATATTATATCATTTAGATAATCAAAACAGAATATATTGAATATTTTTACTACATCTTCAAATATTAATTTTTTACTCGATACGTAATACCCTTATATTGTAAGCTTTGATATAATATCACGCCACTTTCCAACGTTCTAATATTTCTCTCATTTATTGTCAAATGTATCAACAGCCTCCTGATACCTAGAGAAAAATGCAACGCATTGCAACTTTCGGTCTGTTTAATTCGACTGTTAAGCAAAATGTTCAACGAAGGGTAAATATCACAATTATCGTTCAAGCATATTCTAATTAAGATACTTAAAGTCGAGTTTAAAATCAGACATTTGCTTCAATTAAACGAGCAAAAGTACCTTTAAAGGAAGATTGGGTTGAACTGGCTAAAAAAGAATTGAAAGGAAAGGACCCTGCAAAAGTTTTAATATGGCATACTTCCGAGGTGGATTTTCTTTTCTCTCTTTTTTTTTTTTAAAAAAAAAAAAAAAATTCACATTTAAACATTTTAGGGGTTAGACGTGAAACCTTTATATACTAAAGCTGATACTGAAAATGCTCCCGATGAGATTCCTGGTAAATTTCCTTTTACAAGAGGTCCTTACGCGTCAATGTATACAGCAAGACCATGGACAATTCGGCAGGTTGAAATGAATTTCATATTTAGTTCATTGTAATCATTAACGCGTTTTTATTAATTATATACAAATTATATGTTGCTCAATGTATTTGTCGCAAAAATTTTTAATATAAACATTACATATTTTTTGAAATTCAGTACGCAGGATTTAGTACTGTGGAGGAATCAAATGCATTTTACCGTAGAAATTTGGCAGCTGGACAACAAGGATTATCAGTTGCTTTCGATTTGGCCACGCATCGCGGGTAATAATCATCTCATACTTTGTGTATTAATAAGTTATTTAACTAATTAATATGCTCCATAATAGTTACGATTCTGATCATCCTCGAGTGGTAGGTGATGTTGGTATGGCTGGTGTAGCAATCGATTCAGTGGAAGATATGAAAGTATGGCAATAGATATTATTAATTGGATTGTATGAAATATGTTGTCATGTTCACAATGATTTGCATTAATTTAGATTCTTTTTAATGGAATACCGCTTAACAAGATGTCTGTGTCAATGACCATGAATGGTGCTGTACTGCCAATTCTTGCCATGTATATTGTCACAGGTTTAGAACAAGGAGCTCAGTTAAAAGAATTATCTGGCACGATCCAAAATGATATCCTAAAAGAATTTATGGTTCGTAACACTTTCATCTATCCACCCGACCCTTCTATGAAGATTATAGGAGACATTTTCGCTTACATTGCGAAGGTTAGTTTAATGGTGAATGATATAAATAGTACGCGTAGGTATTTGCGGGTCCATATGACTTACACTAAATACATAACATTTCGATAGCACATGCCAAAATACAATTCAATTTCAATATCCGGTTATCATATGCAAGAAGCTGGTGCTGATGCAGTGCTTGAGTTGGCTTTTACTGTTGCAGATGGATTAGAATATGTGAGAACAGGTAAAACAATGAGATTAAAATCAAGTCTAAACATTTTACATATTATTCGAACCGAAAATTTCATATTTGGTTTAAATTTTAGGAATCAAATCTGGTATGACAGTGGATGATTTTGCACCACGGCTGTCATTCTTCTGGGGTATTGGAATGAATTTTTACATGGTAACAAGTATAATGTAACGGTTTTCACCTCATAAAATTTGATAATTAACCAAAGAATATTATTCATAGGAAATTGCGAAAATGCGAGCAGCTCGTCGTTTATGGGCTCATATTATTCAAGAAAATTTTCATCCGAAGAGTCAAAAGTCAATGATGCTACGTACTCATAGTCAAACTTCCGGTTGGTCACTTACAGAACAGGTGCATTCTCGATCAAGTAGTCAATTTTTGAATGTTGCTTTACTGCAATATATGGGCTGACTATAGCAACAACAATTAAATAAATATAGGACCCTTATAATAATATTATAAGGACGACTATTGAAGCGATGGCCGCTGTCCTAGGAGGAACTCAATCCTTACATACTAATTCTTTCGATGAAGCAATCGGTCTACCAACAGAATTTTCCGCCCGTATTGCACGAAATACACAATTAATACTCCAAGAAGAAGCTTTCATACCGAAAGTCGCTGACCCGTGGGGAGGAAGTTATATGATGGAAAGCTTAACGAATGATATTTATGAAGCTTCTAGGGAGATTGTTGAAGAAATTGAAAATATGGGGGGTATGGCATACGCTGTCGCAAGTGGTATGCCCAAGCTAAGAATCGAAGAGAGTGCTGCTCGAAGACAAGCTAGAATCGATTCCGGCCAAGGTTAAACTGGTCTTAAATATTCTTGAACTTCATTATTTTAAATTTTACTAATATTGTTGTTTTATTATCACAGAAACTATTGTCGGTGTAAATAAATATCGTCTTGAAAAAGAAAGTGAAATTGATGCTCTTGCAATTGATAATTCGAAAGTACGACAAGAACAGATTGCGCGTATAAATCAAGTCAAAGCTAGTCGAGATGATAAACAAGTTAGTAAAATAATAAATAACTTTTATTAACCAGTTTGGCGTTTTTATAATTTGTTTGATTTGATTTTGAATTGAACTTATGTCTTTTTTTTTTAATAAATATACTAAAAGTTTGATTAACATAGGCACAAAGCGCATTAAACGCGTTAGAAGCATGCGCAAAATCTGGAAAAGGCAATTTACTTGAATTATCAATTGAGGTATGCAAGCTGAAATCTGTTTTAATATACCGCGTAATATTTTCCCTAAAATATTGATTTTGTTATGAAGGCGTCCAAGGCACGCTGTACTGTTGGTGAGATTTCAAGTGCTTTGGAAAAGGTTTGGGGAAGACATGAGCCATCTAGTCGCGTAGCTAGTGGTGCATATAAATCAGCTTATGGATCTGAAGATGAAACTAATGAATTATTGAAACTTGTTGAAGTAAGTAACGTAGTTATTATTTTGTAAATCAATTATAAGACATTAATAATATTATTTCATTGAAAATAAAGGAAACAAGGTCGAAATTAGGTGTGAACCCTAGAATATTGGTTGCCAAATGTGGCCAAGATGGACATGACCGAGGTGCGAAAGTAATTGCCTCGGCTTTCAGCGATTTTGGTTTTGACGTTGATCTGTCTCCTTTATTCAGTACACCGGAAGAAGTTGCACGTCAAGCAATTGACAATGATGTACATGTAATTGGTGTATCTTCACAAGCTGCTGGTCATAAAGTACTAATTCCAAGTCTTATCAAAGAACTTAAAAGACTTGGTGCAAATGACAAGATTGTAATTGCAGGTGGTGTGATTCCACAACAAGATTATAAATTCTTGAAAGATTCTGGTGTAAGTTTGATATTTGGACCTGGAACAAAGGTCCCAAAAGCTGCTACGGAAGTCTTATTAAAAATACAAGAAAAAATAGAAAATTGAATCCAAGTAGAAATTTATAAGGGACAAAGTAAATAAAATTATAAATGTCATTTTCATTTATAGAAAGTAACCAATCCATTTATTGAAATCTAATTCTAAAGAATATCCTAATACTACTAGATCGACTACATATACTGCACTACCGTATCTATTGCTATTGGATCATTTGTTGTTGAGAATATATATATTTCGATTCTCCTAACTAGGGGATTTAATATATTGTATTTAAATTAATAAACCAATCTAAAATTACAAGAAGAATAAACTGATATATTATGCTACATTTTAATTTATAATCTATAAATGATAAGTCAGAATTTAATAACATCTCCACCAAAAACATTGTCTATAGATCACGATCAAACACAAATTCCTTGGCACCCTTTACTAATCTTTCTCGTGTTGCTCTTAACTCCTCATTGCCCTTTTCCACATCAATGCTAACAAATATCCAATATAAGACAATGGGAAATGCGATAATAATTCCAAATTTTATCATCTCATAAACTGTTCCGAGCACCCAAAGAAGAATCTTGTAAAGGTAAAAAAGTAACACAAAAAGGACAAGAAGGTAAATGATTTCAGACATTGAACTTGTGCTGATAGCTTCTAAAACATCAGAAATTTGGAGGGTGTTTAGAAACGAACTCGCTTGTATACATAAACTTTGTAGCATTACAAGTATTTCGTTTAATGTATTGTCAGCCATTCTTGTTGACGTGAATCGTTTTTTACTTATTTGTTTCGTTTCGTTTCGTTTAGGGGGGTTATATTCTTTATTTTATTTTATATATTTTTTTTTTAGATATCCTTTTGCAAAAGAGCAAAGTTAAGTTTTTTATGCTTAAAGTGAATACGTGAAATAAATGTGAATAAAGATATATTAAGTACATGCATTTGTGTCTGTAACACGAATTATTTGTCAATGTCACATGTAAATAAATGAAAATCTTATGACAACATATTTTAAATTTAATAACCTACTTACAGTATAATTTGACTTAAACCTTTATGCTTTAGCAAGAATTATGGTTTTAATATTATCTTGATTAAGGTTACTTGTCTAAATTCATTTTGAAACGTCTAAATTTTAATTTCGCTAATTTTTATTGTTTACCTTTTTCTAAAGTTTTGCAGATTTTTTAAAAAGACTTTAATATAACTTTGCTAAATTTTACCTTTTACCATTTAGATAGTGTTGGAATTGGACCTTGTTCAATTCCCAATAATAGACTATTGGACTTTGGACCTAATGGAGATGTCCAGTTCAATTTCAATTCAAATGGACTCTGATTATATAATTTTGGCCAAATTATAATTTTATATACTATAATTCTGGCTAAATTTATAATGCTAGCCTAATTTAAAAATTTTGAACAATAATAAAATCGTTCAACTAGAACGATTTCTACTGACTAATCTGGATTTTTCAGGTTTAGAGAACCTAATTATTTAAAAAATTCTAATAAATATCAATAAAATGATTTACATAATAATTACTAAAATTAAATATAAATTTATAACTGCTAGACAAAGTCTATAGTCCAAAAGTTCAAATTTTAATGGAATTAAAATGGACCAAGTCCAGTAATCCAATAGTCTAATGGTCCAAAAGTCCATTAATCCAAAAGGCTAACACTGCATTTAGATGACTTACAAAACCTCTAGGTTTCGTCTAGCAATCTTAATCTTAATAAATTTTTACAATCAAGTTTTTAAATTAAAAAAATATAAAATTTTTTTTATATTTACATAATATAAAATTAAAATATTTTTAAAATAGAAATATTTTATTATTAATCTCAACTTTTAATAAAATAAATAAAATAACTATAATTTAGTTAATACTCAAAACTCTAATTATTTATAATAAAATTTCTAAACTAATTATTTAATAAAAAAGGAAAAAATAGCTGAAAGAATAAAAATTGAGTTAATGTTGAATATATTTTGACCTAAAAATCATATTTGGCATAAAAAAGTAAAATTTGATTTTTTCTAGCTGTTTCTTTCCTTTCTAATACAAAGATCTTATATAATAATTTTTATTTACTTTATAAAATTCTATTATAATATTCAATTATAATAAAGTAATTACTATCTAAATAATTCAATAATTATCCTTTAGATTGTCTAGCAGTAGTGTTAGAGTTCAGATGAATATCAATCTACCAATCTGATAATCTATTTAATTCAAAATTAATTTGAACTATCTGTTAAGAATTTTGGTCAGATGACGGATAAATTCAAATGGTCATTTGAATGATCCATTAATTTTAAAAATAATTTTTTGTTTTTTATTTACTGAAAGTTTAAATCTATATGTTAAACTATTACTTAATAAATCAATAACTATATCTTATCAAATACAATTATGGAAGGAATTCATCTCATTACCTGAACTTTATTTAATTATTCTAACAAAAATAAAGAAATCCTATTTCTTTTTTTTTAAAAAAAAATCATACTTGAATTTTTTTTATTTAGATATATTTAATTGCTTATTAATATTGATAGTTTACAAAAAAAACAATTATAAACTAATAGAAAATCCCAATAATAAAAAAACTATAGAAAGATTAAAAATCAATTAGGTTTAAGAATTCTTTGACTCAGAAATTTGTAATAACAAGCGATAAATAGTATGTAAACCTAATATAATAGATATAAATATTTTTTGCAAGAAAGAATATAAAATAAACGGATCTATCAAAAATTATATTGAGCATTTATTAAATAAACATAAAGTTTTTTCAAATAGAAAAAATAAAGATTTTTAGATAAGAATTCATTTTTAGGAATAATAATACCTATTTATTTAAAAAGTTTATTAATATATAGATTTTTTGTAAAATATTACAAAAAATATTAGAAAATATAAAGAAAGTTACTAATTTGAATTATGCTAATATTTAGCAAATTTTATTATTAATGCAACTTTGTTATTAAAAATAGTTAAAAATATGTTTTTTGTTAGTTTATTAAGAAATTAGATCTAGCTTTCGTAATATCAGATTCTAAAGATATATTGCTATAACTTTATCATTAAGGTTTTAGTTGATTTTATTACAACACTTACATCTGTTTTTCTTACATTAGATCTGTGAACTGCGTGAAGTCATTATGAATTTCTTGGTATAACATATTTATACTTAGACAAAAAATATAATCTTTATAAAATTGCTTTAACTCTCTCTTATCTTAGATATTTATACTCAGCTAAAAATATTCAAAATACTATTATAGAGATTCTTGATAATTAGAATTTGCAAATTAAAGTATATTTTATTACTATTAATAATAGAAAAAATGTTTAAAAGTGTGTAAAAATATGAAAAAATAGAATAGCATTCATATGCTTTATATATATTTTAATTAGTAATCAGAAAAGGATTAATGCAATCAAAAAATTGATATTAAGAATAAAATGATTAATCAATTTTTTTTTAAAACCTAAGTAAACTGAAAGATTAAAGATGTTCAAAGAAGCTTATTAAAAAATAAAAGGAATAATATAGTATAAATTTTTACATTAATTTTCTTAGACTATATAATTTTATATTATATATTTACTTTAAGGCTAATTTTTAAAATATTTTATTTTTATAATAAAAAATTAGAAAAACTGATAAATATTTATATGTAATTCAAGATTGTGAAATTAGATGGAATAGTACTTTTCATGTATAGCAGTAATTACTTCTTCAAGATATAATAAATATCTTCAATATAAATTAATACATAAAGTTGATAGTGATTCAAAAAAGACTTTAAACAGTTAAAGGAAATTATGATTATTACTGAATAATAGGATTTAATAGCAGAATTGGTTAATATATTAGAACTATTTGTTGAAATAACTAACTATTTGAGAAGCAGTTCTTACTGTACATACAGTTTTATTAATCTATTAATAGAAGAAATCAAAAAAAAACTAACACAAATGCCTTTAGTATCATCACTTTTATCATTAACTTCATCATTATCTTCTTTACTACTTCTATGATCACTTACTTCACCACTATTACTAATTAATATTGAAGAAATATATGAAGATATATTTGATGAAATTGAATTAGAAAAAGAATTTAATAGTTAATATTAAACTAATCTAAATCGATTTGTAAATACATCTAATTTGTTAAATACTATCAAAAAAAAATTCTATGAAAATTTATGTTTTTATTGGAATTTTCAAAATCTTAATATACTTTTGGCCACTTTATTAAATCTAAGAACAAAAAATCTAAAAATTATATATATTCAAATTCAATTTAAATACAAAAATTATTATGTAACAAAATTGAAGAATTAAAGACAAAAGAAGCACTTAATAATTTGCCTTTTTTATCTAACATTTTCAATTCTATATTAATGCCAAAAAATTTTAAATATAAAAATTCAATTCTATTAAATTTTAAAAATCTCAGTCATAAGCAGATAATAAAGTACCAAAATATTTAAAATTAGATAAAATTTATTGAAAAGAACATTTTTTTACTTGATAGATATATAAAGAAAATCATTTTTACTTTTTGAGTATATTAGCATATAAATACTTATCCATATCTACAGCATCTATATCTTCAGTAAGAATGTTCTCAGATGTTAGAAATGTAATAGGGCTAAAAAAGACTAAGATAAGTCTTGAATTATTAAATAAAATTATATTTTTAGAGTGAAATTGTAATATGTTAGCTTTAATTCATCTATCTATTTATATATATTTGTATAGTTTTTCACTTTTTTTGAAATTTATTATTAATTATTTTATAATTAATACTAAATTTTAAATAATAAATTACATAGTTTATATTTAAATATATTTAAAATATATTTATTTCAATAGTATTATAAGATTACAAAATAATATAATAAATTTTATTAAATTTTTTTATTTTACAGTAATAATAACAGAAAAGAAGAATGTTTATAATAAAATAAAGTATAATAATATAAAGAAAAATTTCTAAAGACAAAATTAAAATGAAAATAACAAATATTTTTAATTTAAAATAATATAATACAATCCTCATCTGTGAAATCTATAATTTGTAATATATCCAGATAAATCTGATGGATATTCAGCTGAATAACAGATAAATTTATGAAATCATGATAGACATTCAAATTTTTAAAATTAATTTCAGATTAGACTGATAGATAACAAATTCATCCAGATTCTAACATTATTTAGTAAGCAAATTTGTCTATAAACTTAAAAAAAAGTATTAATTTTTTAATAAAATATTAAATTTTATTTTAATAATATAATAATTATAAGAAAAAAAAATATAGTTTAATATATATTTTATTAACTTTTATTATAAAATTTTTTTTAAATAATTTAATTTTAAAATTAAGTTTAAAAAATTTATTATAATTATTTTTAAAATTTTCTTTAAAATTTAATAAATCATAAAATTATAATAATTAAAATTATTATTCATAATAAATTTTATAATATTCTTTATAATTAATATTGCTAAAAGTAAATATTAATAAGATTATTAAAGGGTAATAATAAAATTTTTTAATATAAAACTTTACAAATCTTTAGTTTATAAGTAATTTAAGATTATTTATTTAATTAAAATAAAATATTTTTGATTATATAAAGATAAAATAAAATTTATTAGATTTATCATATTAAAATATATTAAATAATATTATTTTTAATTTTTTAAAATAACATATTTTGTAATAATT